AAAACAAAAATTTTTTTTTTTTTTTTTTTTTTTTTTTTTTTTTTTTTACCTTTTTGTCTTTTTCCGTGTCCGGCAACGGATCGCAACCCTCAGTGTCGCCCCCGTACCGGACCGGGACCGGCAACGGGATCGCAACCCTCGGTGTTGCTCCCACGCCTCGCTCAGCCAGTGAGCGGGAACTGGTCTGTATGTGGGATCCGAACCCTTGGCGGGAGCGCCGCCACGCTTCCCAAGCGGCGCACTATCGCAGTGCGCCACCGGGCCGGCCCAATATATTACATTTTAAACAACAAATCTGATAGCTTCCATCTTTACTAGGGAGTTTTTTTGTTTTAATTTCTTTGTCTGTCTCTCCATCCCACTAACCTCAGAAGCAGAGGGTGGAATTAAATATGCACCCCATTTTGTGTCCTTCCATAGACTGCAGTCGTTTTTTGTGATGGTCAGTGTATTAGTTTTCTATTGTTGCTGTATTTGTTACCACAAACTTAAGGGCTTAAACAACACAAGTTTATTCTCTTACGTCTCTGTAGGCCAGAAATCCAAGAAGTAGATCCCACTGAGCTAAAATCGAGGTATCAACAGTGCTGTGCTCCTACTGGGGGCTCAAGGGGATTCCCTGCCTTTTCCATCTGGCTGCCTGCACATCTTGGGTCCTGATCCCTTCCTGCATCTTCACAATCAGCGGTCACATCACTCCAGCCTTCCTCACATCGCCTTCTCTGTCTCTGACCCCCCTGCCTCCTTTCACTTATAGGACCCTTGTGATTACATTGAACCCACCTGGATAATCCAAGATAATCTCCCCATCTCAAGATCCTTAATTTTTTTTTTTTTTTTTTTTTTTTTTTTTTTTGTCTTTATTCCGTGTCCGGCAACAGATCGCAACCCTCAGTGTCGCCCCCGCACCGGACCGGGGACCGGCAACGGGATCGCAAGCCTCGGCGTCGCTCCCGCGCCTCGCTCAGCCAGTGAGCGGGAGCCGGTCTGTACGTGGGATCCGAACCCTCGGACGGGAGCGCCGCCGCGCTTCCCAAGCGGCGCACTATCCAGTGCGCCACCAGGCCGGCCCTCAAGATCCTTAATTTAATCACATCTGCAAAGTCCTCTTTGTCATGGAACATAACATATTCTCAGTTTCTGAGTGTTAGGATATGGACATTTTTGTGGGGCCATTTGTTCTCTCTTATTCCCATCCTCTCTCATCTATAGACAACTATTCTAATGTAGTTCATGTATATCTTTTATTTTTTTATTCATGTAAACTGTGTATTATGTGCATCTCTTTCGATTATACAATAGATCTCTTTCTGTTTCTGCCTTTTTACCCTCAGCACTGTGTTTCAAGAACTCTGTGTAGCTGGGTGTACATCTGTTCTATTCTCCTAACTCACTGCTGTTCAAAAGAAATATAATGTGAGCCATATAAACAATTTAGAACGTTCCAGTAGCCATTATATCCAAGATATCATCATTTCAATGTGTAATCAATATAAAAGATTGAGATATGTTTTATTCTTTTTTTCTGGTACTGTCTTCAAAATCGCACGTGTGTTTTAACCTACAGCACATCTCAAGTGAGACTAGCTGCATTTCAAGTTCTCAATAGCTACATGTGGGGCGTGGCTGCCATAGTGGATTCTAGCACAGTTCTGTTACACAGTGTCCCCTCCTGTGGTGGATCCTGTGACTGCCCTCTACTCCCAGCTACCACAAGCAACGCTGAAATGAGAATCCTTGTACATGTGCCCTGCAGACCTTTCTGAGAATTCCTCACCTATAAATACCCAGAAACAGGATTGCTAGACCATAGGGTGTACTATAAACATTGTTAACTTGATTAAATACTGCCACACCTGTCTTTAAAATGGTGGCAGCACTCTACATAGTGCACGAAAACTCCCATTTTTCCATATCCTCACCAAAACTCAATATTATCGAGCTTTCTAATTTTATTCTAATTTTTGCCAGTCTAATAAGTATAAAATAGCATCTGCTTGTTGTTGTTGTTGTTGTTGTTTGGTGGCTGGCCAGTATAGCATCTCTTTTTAATTTGCATTTTTCTAATTATGAGTTTGAGTATCTCTTCATATGCTTTCGTGATTTTTTTTTTTTTTTTGAGGATTGCTCGTTCATATTCTTTGTCCATTTTTCCTTTGGGATTCCCATCCTTTTCTTGTTGGTTTGTGGTTGCTTGTAAAGTCTAGATCAGGGAACCTCAACCTTGATTGCAATTTAGAATTATCCGTGGAAATATTTTCAAAGTGCCAATGCCCAGGCCCCAACCCAGAGTAATTAAAGAGAATCTCTAGAGATGGGGTCCAGGAAACTGTATATGTTATTTTTACATTCCCCAAGTGATCATAATATGCAGACAGAATTGAGAACCATCATTTAAAGCATTAATCCCTTAATATGACATTTCAAGTGTGTTTTCCCAACCTATCGTCTGTCTTTTAACTTTGTGCATGGTGTCCTTCAACATAAATCTTTAATTTTAGTTAAATCAAATAGACAAAATTTTTATCATCAGGTTTGCATTTTCTAAGTTTTGTTAATATCTCTCCCCCTAAGAGAGATATCCCACCTCCCAGGTCACAAAGATATTCTGCATTTTCTTTTCTATTTTATTTATTTATTTTTGGGGTAGTTGGCCAGTATGGAGATTCAAACCCTTGACCTTCGTGTTACAAGCACCATCCTCTAACCAACCAAGTGAGCTAACAGGCCAGCCCTTGCATCTTCTTCTACTACCTTTATAATCACTCCTTACATTGAATCCACCTGGAGTCCACTTTGTTACCATTTATATAAGGACGTGTCTCTGGGCTCTCTTTCTGTTCCAGTGGTCTCTTTGTTCTTATCGTGATACCATACTAATTTGATTAGTCTGGCTTTGTAGCATATCTTAGTCTATGGTAAAGCAAATTCTTCCTCTCTGCTTTATATATTCATGGGCCTTTTGTAATTTCCTTTCCAGATCTTCCAATTATATCTGTATTAGTCCATTTCTGTTGCTTATAACAAAATACACAGAACTGGGTGATTTATAAAGAAAACAAAATTTATTGCTCACAGTTTCTGAGGCTGGGAAGTCCAAAGTCCAGGGAACACATCTGGTGAAAGCTTTCTTTGGTGGTAACTTCAGTGATGGCAGAGTATCACATTGCGAAATGGTGGAGCACAGGGAGCAGAGCATAGAGAGACAGACTCTCTTTTCTTTTAAAACCCTCAGAACCACAACCCTGGCCACCATTTTCAATCCATTCACTACTGCATGGTACTACAATCTAATCACCTCTTCAAGGCCTCACTTTTCAATTGCCATAAGAGGATTCCCACTCTCTCAACAATCACAGCGGGGGCCAAGTTTCTATTACATAAAACTTGGGGGACACAACTCAAGCTTCAGTAAGTTTTGGGGGGACATAATTCAATCCACTACCATATCTCTGGACAAGAAACAGAAAAAGGGACATCATAGCCTCTTGTATCTTAAGTGAAAGAAAGGAATTTCATAGCCACTTGATCACCTCTCAGTCTGAGTTCTTCTTGAAGAGACCTCCTGTTCCTTCCCAACTAGTGTTTGCCCAATATTTGCAATTGGACATCCTTTAGAAATCAGCTCAAACAGAAACACATGCCCATTCTATGATATAAAGTTGTTTTTAAAATGTACTAGGCTATAACTATTAAATACATTTGAAGAATACATACATGTAAAGTTTTGCATGAAAATATAGAAAATAATTTTTCACATTTAGACAATCTAATTTAATAATCCAAAGAATCAGGTTTTTTCCTATTAGAAAGAAATTGTCTATGAGGACCCATTCAGGCACCAAGTCCAGATACTTACAGAGGAAAATATAGAGAAGACCATATTTAATTTCCATATATTAGGAGAACTGGGCAAATTAAATGGCCAGTCTTACTATAAAAAAGTTAGATCCCATATAGTTAAATCTAGCACCAATGTCGAGATTCTCCCTGGATGGATGCTTATGGATAATATATAACACTGTTTTTCATATTCTAGAAAAACATTCTTCTTGGAGTGATTTTGGTTACTGTTCTTTTTCTTTTCAGTGCTTACCATGGTCACCTATCATCTTTAATTGAGATCAGTCCATATAAATTTCGGAAGGGCAAAGATGTCAAAAAAGAATTTGTACATGTGGTAAGTATCTTAGAAATCTAGAAGCAGAATATTAGTAGTAGACGAATGCCTAGTGATAATCCAGACCAATACTTCTGCTGAAATGAAACCATGAAAAACTAAGATCTGGAGCAGTTTATGTGACTTGATAAAGTCAAGGAGCTAGATAATGACAGAATGTGGTTTAAAATCCATTGACAAAAGAGGCTGGCCAGATAGCTCAGTTAGTTAGAGTTTAGTGTTGATAACACCAAGGTTACAGGTTTGGATCCCCATACCAGCCCGCTGCTTAAAAACAAAAAACAAAACCCATTGACAAGTATTACAGTAGGAAATTATCACAAGTATCATTTTTTCTTGCTCTTTTATCTTCAATTACTTTTTCTATCATTGATGTCAACTTGAAATTCAGAGTTGAATTGTGTATGACTATCTTAAAATTAAATTGCTCTATGCTAAATTATTATATAGATTTATTATGTAAAATAAAGAAACCAACCAAGTTGTTGAAACAGTGAAATTCATTTCGTGTGTTTGCATTAATCGAGGATTAGTAGACTTTCTTAAGAAAATTATCAGTACCTTCTTTTTAAGATTTTAAAATCTGTAGTCAGTGCTAAGGCACTCTTTAGTATTTTTCTGAATGATTACAATTTGTGATAGAGTTGATAAGTGTTGGTGTATTTTAAATCTGGAATAGTTACTACAGTTTCCATTCACTGACATTTTCCAATAATATAATCACACTTGTTGATTTGAGTTTGCTATTTATGTGAATAGGGATACAGTTTTGATTTATAACAGTCTGGGAGCAAATCCAAGCTCCTGTTCATAATTCACAAATATCAGTTCTTCATAGAATTTAGATTTTGTCAGAGGAGCAAATAATGAGAAACTTCATCATTTGATGTTTTCAGGCACCAAGTCCAGATACTTACAGAGGAAAATATAGAGAAGACCATGCAGACCCAGCCAGTGCTTATGCAGATGAAGTGAAGAAGATTATTGAGGAAGCTCATAAAAGTGGAAGGAAGGTTTGTATTTACAGCTTTGGAAACATGTTAATGTCTTTTGTAAAACAGATTGAAACTAATTCACTAGAGAAAGGGAAAAGGATTAGATCTAAATTTAAATTCCCTTTTTGTTCTTTTCTGGTTACATTTTCACTTGGCTCATATTTCCAAAAAGTGCATTGTTATAGTCATGCCTGTAAGACCGTCTACTTTTATTTATCCTGGAAATGCAATCACTGTGCCCATTCCAGCACTGGTGGCCTAATTCTGACTTCTTCGGTGGTATGCAGGGTCTGGTCCACAGGGCTAGGGGAAGAGAAAATTAAGAAAGGTGATAGCTCCAGGACAGACTTTTCCAACTGAGAGTAGCACCAGGGGTTAACATATGGGGAAGCGAAGAGAAGAGGCACAGGGGCTGGGGTCTCAGGACCCATGCAGACTTCCAGACCTGCAGGGAACCTTGACACTTCCCTCGAACTGGTCAGCCTTCTAGAAGCTATGGAGCTCGGGGATGGTTCTCACCTGGGTAAGCCAAAGCAGAATCTGTTCTTCCAGTCTGGGCCTGGACTTGTAAGAATCCTCAAGAGCAAGTGAAAGGGATTTTCATTTTCTCAGTCTTCACTCTACTGTCTGCAGCTTAATTTTAATTCTTATCCCATTTGAGGGTTACTTACGTGGATTTTTTACGGCAACTTGACAACACTTGGCCTTTAAACTGGCTTATGGCATAGATGCAGTAATTAAAAAAAACCCAAAAAACCTTAATTGAAATAAAAAATTGAGCCTTTTCTTTTTCTGATTAATTTAAATATTTTTGTCTTCATGACTGGAGAGCCATTTACGTTTCTTAACTATTTCTTTTTCTTCCCTAGCCATTTGTTTTCACATCTTATGTGATAAGTCTGTGTGGGCAGACCTAAAGCTCTACCTGTTGTGGGGAGCAGCCTGCTCTTCCTCTTCAATACAGCCTGTACCTCTTTACACAAATGATAAATGTGTTTTCAGGAAAAAATTGACATCAGCAAGATCTTATGGACTCTTTGCTGTTAAAATAGGGTTTGGGTAATTTTTTGAGGACATTAGCATTCAGTAGTTATTGGATTGATGCTGTCTTGTTAACAATGCTGAAAGCAATGAGCAATGTCAGATATACTTGCAAAGTCATAGAATTTTAGAGCAGATATCTCTTGAGTCCAACAGCCTCATTTCACAGCTAAGAAACTAGCTAACTTTAAAGTGAAGGATTTAACCCAAGATAGTACAGTTACCGAAGGGTATTCTGAACTAGAACCTTGGTTCTCTTGATTGCTTATTTCATACCCGTTTGGCACTTTCTTTTCTTACTTCAGTGTTACTATTTCCTGCTTCTTTCTCAGCCTCTAGAACATGTAATCTGTAGTTCCTACTGTGAATTGCCTAACTGTGAGGGAAGCCTGGTCCAGAGCCAGGCTAGAAATATAGCAGAATAACTATAGCATGTGGTCACAAGCCACCCTCCCATTTCCTTGGTGCCATTTCCTTGCAGCCTCCCAGCAGTCCTGTTTCACCAAGTTGAGGAAACAGGCACTACGATGGTGCCTTTGGAACTGCATAATTTCTTAGAGGTTCAAATCAAAGACTGATCAAAACATAACTCTTATTCAGCTCATCCTAGTGAAACCACTGCACTTAAATTAATTATGGATAAATGAAAGTCGCCCCCTGATCCCCTTCATTTCTTGTGGTAGCTTCATTGGTACCCTAGAATTTCAAAAACTAATGCTTTAGATCAGTTGCTTTTCCAGCATAGACATCTTTTCTTTCCCATTTATTTATTTATTGGCAGCTGACCAATACAGGGATCAAACCCTGGACCTTGGTGTTATCAGCATTTTCTTTCCTTTTTAATCAAACAGCCTGTTTGCCACTTGCCACAGGTTTATTTCTAGCCATTTTCTAAATAACTTGCTGTATAAGAAATCCTCCCTTTTTAGGGGGCAGGAGGAGGGCCTAATGGACTTTGACCCCATCTTCTCTTACATAGATTGCTGCCTTTATTGCTGAATCCATGCAGAGTTGTGGTGGACAAATAATTCCTCCAGCAGGCTACTTCCAGAAAGTGGCAGAGTATGTACTTGACTTGGGCATCCTTGATCAAATTGAGGGCACTGTGACAATTATGTAGGGCCATACTGGTTGCTAAAATATTGAAGCATTTCCCGACTAGCTGGTAACTAGCCACTCCCAAGGGCCTGCCGTTCCAGGGTTCCCAGGTGCTCCCTCTGCCTTTCCCAAGATTCAGCAAATAAAGGGTTTACGCATGATCGAGTAGGGGTTCCAAACTCTTCTCCAGCCTTCCGCCCGGCATCCTCTCTGATTGGCTGATGCCCAAGCCTTGCCAATTAGTAAAATCTTGAGGATTAACCCTGCTAAAAACTACTCATTCAATTCTTTCTCTTCCCACTTAATATACTACAGTATAGCTTACTTCAAGCAGTAGAAAACCAAATACTGTGGAACATACCTAATCTAGAAATTATGTAATTATGTTGTAAAGTCACTATCATCTAGGTGGGGTTTTGAGTACTGGAATATTTTTAACAAAGATTAAGACTTAGGTTAACAACATTTTTTTCTCTTCAATAATGTATATCATTGTGGGTGGGTCTGGGGACTTTCAGTAACCTGAAGGCATTAGATTGTCCCTTTGCTTTTCAGATATGTACACAGAGCTGGGGGTGTGTTTATAGCTGATGAAGTTCAGGTAGGCTTTGGCCGTGTTGGGAAACATTTCTGGAGCTTCCAAATGCATGGTGAAGACTTTGCTCCAGACATCGTCACAATGGGAAAACCAATGGGCAACGGTCACCCAATGGCATGTGTGGTAACAACCAAAGAAATTGCAGAAGCCTTCAGCAGCTCTGGGATGGAGTATTTCAACACGGTAAATTTTGGTCTTCAACTTTAATGCTAAGAGGGAAAAATAATGCATGTTTTTACATTTCTTCCCAGTGTAGTAAATAATAGAGCTCAATATTGCCAGCTAATCCTCCCAGGATCCCAGCCAAACTTTGATGTAACCAGACTTCATTCTGTCTGGCACGGTGCTCCTTGTGTGTCTTTCTCTTTCTTAAAATGATTTTATTAATTTTTCCAGTGATAGATGGCTGCCCTGCTAAATGCTAGAGGTTAGGGTATTTTCATTAACAGCTGATATGCTCATCTTTGTTTTCTATCATATTAAAATCCTCAACACACATAAAAAGTGTTAAGGTGATTCAGTACTATAAATGTAATATGGCTGTTATAGGAGATACTGAATTTTATCTTTGGGAAATTAAATTTCCTTGGTTTTACCCACAAAAGTCATAAGATTTAAGTGTGGAAAAATTATTATAGTTTGTAAAATATTATAACAGGATTTGTTACAGCTAAAAGTAAGATTCAAATCTAAGGATGTAAATTATTTGGAGAAGATGTCATAGCTTAGCTGTTTTCACTCAGCCAAGCAGAAACCCATTCCCCTCACTGAACCACACTCTGAAGTCCTTAATTCCCAACACAATGTCTGTTTTTTGTTTGGATAAACCAGTAAATTCCCTAGTCCATGCCAGTTATGCAGCATGGAGAATATAATTTGGAATGAATTTTCATTCAATTCTGAATAAACAGAATCATGCTAACCCTGAGAAACTAATATTATAAGAAAAAATTTTATTGAAATTATATCTTCACTTATGTATGTATGAAACAAATTTCTCATGGATGGAGCAATACCACTGATTCAACTGTTATGTTTTCTCTTTTATCTTTTTTCTATAGTATGGAGGAAATCCAGTATCTTGTGCTATTGGTTTGGCTGTCCTGGATATAATTGAAAATGAAGACCTTCAAGGAAATGCCACAAGAGTGGGGAATTATCTTAGTGAGTTACTAAATACGCAGAAGGCTAAACATGCTTTGATAGGAGATATTAGGTATGTTTATCATGAAGTTGTTATGTAGTTATTCATTGTTCTAAAATGGAAATAGCTTATATTTTATCTTCTAAATTTAAAATAAAGTACATAAAACTAAATGTGGAAAATACTGAAAAACAGAAAAAGCAAAAATCAATCTTAATCTGGAACCCAGATATTACACACTGTTCACATTTGGGTATATCTTTCCTTACTTTTATACTTTTAATTTTTTAATAAAGCTAGGATAATTTCAGCACCCAAAAGATGAAAAGAAGGAACTTAAGAAGCTCTAAATGATCTATTGAAAATTGTTTAAAATACTATCCTGGAAAGATGGATATTTTTCACAGACTTATATAAACATTTACCACTATTAATATCCTGAGAAACTAAGTAGCAGGAAAGGGGTGTTTTTAAGCCTTTTTCTTTGAAGAAAAGACTGGATGACAAAAACTAACTTGTTTCAAAAACTAGATGGGCTGGCCAGTTAGGTCATTTAGTTAGAGCATGGTGTTATCACACCAAGGTCAAGGATTCGGATCCCCATACTGGTCAGCCACCAAAAAAACCAAAACAAGACTAGAAACAACTATGAATACTGGATTGGTATCTTGGATTAGTTAGGATAAATAACAATTACCCTTAACGGGCACCACATTCAGCTTTAAATTAAATTGAAGTTTGGGGACAGTGTTAACTTTTTGTGACAATGCAGTGGTGGATAGAGTGTGTGACAGGTTTTCTTTCTTTACCTCCCTCAGGGGCATTGGCCTTTTTATTGGAATTGACTTAGTGAAGGATCATGAAGAAAGGACCCCCGCTACAGCCGAAGCCCAGCACGTCATCTACAAGTAATCTACCCCACACCTGTTTGGTATCTTGGCTCCAGGACGCCCACTCACTTGAAAGTTTGTTTTACTTCCTCCCATCTCTCCAAAAAAGGAAAATTTAAGACACAAGCAATTTATAAAAGTGGGCTTCTTGAGTGCAAAATACTTAACTGCTCTATGTTCACATTATTTTAATAATCTTAATTACTGTGTATATGGATTCACATGTATTTCCTGCACTAATTAGGATGAAAGAAAAACAAGTGCTGCTCAGTGCTGATGGGCCTCATAGAAACGTGCTTAAAATAAAACCACCTATGTGCTTCACTGAAGAAGATGCAAAGTTTATGGTGGACCAACTTGATGAGATTCTAACAGGTTGGTCCACATATCTTTGAGATGCCTCCTTGCCCCTCCTGCAAACTCCCCACGCTTTTTCTCAGCCTGGTCACAGATGACCGTGTGCATCTTGTTATTCACGATGAAAGGGAGGCAGGGCGAAAATAAATATATAATTTTCCTTTTAGAACTTGAAAAAAATAGAACTGAGAAATAACAACTACATGGACTCTTAGTTAAATCAAAAATTTCAGTTTCTATTCATACAACTCCAAATCTCAGTTTTTACTGAAATAACACATTGTCTTATTTTTAACACTTATTTTTACTTTAGAATAGCTAAGATATTTAAAACCTCATATCTGCATTATACCATGCACCACAAATACTGCAAAGTGTAGTATTTCAGCATTGTACCATTAAAATACATGAAACATTTTTAATAAAAGTTACAGGCTATAGGTTAGCAATTTTTTATGTGCTGAATCCTTTGACTTTGTGGTCTTAATTTTTTTTTTTTTTTTTTTTTGTCCTTTTTTGAGACCGGTCATCCCTATATAGGATCCGAACCCGCGGCGGGAGCGCCGCTGCGCTCCCAGTGCCACACTCTCCCGAGTGCGCCACGGGCTCAGCCCTGGTTTTAATTTTTAACTTTTTAATTTTCATTTTAAATAATATTAAAATATTTTTGTTTTATTACAATTTAATTTTTAGGACTTTTGTTTGTCATTCAGAATTACAGTCTATCATAGAAGTTAATCTTTTGTTTACCTATACTATGCAATTAGGTTTTTATTTCCCTGTTAGGAACATAAATTGTGATGAGAAAGTAAATTAACACTGTAAAACCATGTCAAAAATCATAAAGCACTCTGGAATGTTAGATCATTTTTGTTGTTTTAGTTATATTTTGACAATTCAACTTCTCCGCTTGCTTCTCAGCCTTTTGGAGTTAGGATAAGGCTGAGAAGACAGGAGTCAATAAAGCATACAAAATAGATCGTTAGTGTTTGGAAACTTGAGAGTCAGCCAAAGTTATTTGTACTATGGTCGCTAGCTTCGGCCCACACCTGGCAAGCATTCCTCACAGGCCTGCATGTCCTCAGGTCCCCTAGGGACAGCTTGAGGCAACCTGTCACTATGGGTCCAAGTCAACTCAGAGCTTGAGCATTCTTAACAGTGGACCAGAAGAATTTCCTTTGAATAAAGTGAACGAGGCATAGATAAAACAGGGCAGTGCCACTTACAAATGATAATGATGAAATGCTATAATAAAGTTTTTAAAGCAACAATTTTAATAGTGACACTTTTTAAAAACATACTGCTTTTACCTCTCTCTTCTTCAATGAAGGTATTTCTATAGGTAGTAATAAGACTTTTTTTTTTTTTAAAGCTTTTTATGTTATTCTGTCTTCTCCATTATATCTTCTTGATTTAGCTTTAGAGGAAGCCATGGGAGCCAAAACTGAAAGTGTGATCTCTGAGAATACTCCATGCAGAACAAAGGTAAGAATTGCCTACTTTATTTTTAGGAAAAATGTTTAAAACTTTGGAAATTTAAGAAAAAGGAATGCAAATTTTTAAAAAGTTGTACAGTGACCTTTAGAACAAAACCAATCTAGGCTGGGGTTGGCTTATTGTTGCAACTTTGAGTGTACAATTAAATTTCCAGAGCAAGTGCCATATCATTTGAGAGGAATAAAGCCAAAGAACCATTCTTACAAGATTATTCTCATATCAAAAAGGAAAAGAAAAAGCTCCCCTTGGACCTGCAAAGAGGGCCTTCAAAATATACAGAGAGTATAGCAATGGCTCAAGCTCCTTCCTATTTGCTCTGAGGGCTGCCTACACTGGCTCTGACTCCCACACGCTACTCTTAAAATCAGCAGAAGAATTAGCAGTGTAGTTCCAAAGTGCCAGAGTTTGGTTCTGAAATGAACTAAAGTGTAAGCTTCGAACGGCAGCTGGGGCCTGGGAACCGTCTGGCACTGCGTGGCCTAGTTTCTGCATCTGATGTGCTTCCTGCAGAGGGCCTTTCCATTCTCTCCCTGAGCTGCCCAGGGTGTGAGAAAGAGCACCCTGGGTCAGGAAACAGAAAGGCGAAAACTTGAGAGGCTTTGTTGCATAATTTGTTATTTGTTTATGACTTAGATGCATAAAGGGACATTCAGTGCCTAGAGTCCGCCTGCACGGCCAGGGCAGTCAGCAAACTTCTTTTCATGATTAAAAAACATTTGGCTGTTGAAGACTTACTAACAGGACTGCTCTGTCTCTTCTAACAACACAAACCAATTATAGAAATCAATTATTATCTGATGCTCAAAAATAGCTTATCAAGTCTAGAACAGAATCACAGCTGTAAAAACAAATTCACCAAGCATTGAGGAGCTTGCAAAACAAGGTTCACCCCAAGAAGTCCCACTTTGGAGTTAGCGAAATTGACACACATTTTTATGAAATTTTGACTTGGAGTCCCAGATTTTATATTGAGGTCACATTTCAAATGTCTATTGAAGATACTAACAAGGAAGTTAGAGCAGAACGACCAGTATCATTTTGTTTAGTTTTGCTTTCCCATGTTTTTTGTTTGTTTGTTGGCCTGTTAAATCAGTCCTGCAGTGGCCGGCGGGTTTGGAGGTGGTACCCACTGAAGATCTGTGTGCCTATCTTGCAGATGCCTAAAGAAGTAAACTTGGAATTGCTCAGTGACAACACCACTGACTCCAAAGAAAACCTCAGCAGAAAGAGAAATGGAGTGTGCACAGATAAACATTCACTGCTCAGTAAGAGGCTCAAGACATGAAAGATTAGCATTTGAAAGCAAGACCACTGTCCAGAGTTATAGAGAATGAGTGGATGTGTCTCATCTGTTAATATCTCTGTTATACCCTCTAAAGGAAGAATTTTCACTCAGTTTAGATTTGTAAATAAAAGGGTAAATCAGTAATAAAAATAAACCAAATGATAATCAAACCATGTCAAGATTATTAGTTTAGGCTTTACCCTGTTAATTCCTTACTTAAGATTTCTGAAGGTACTTAATTTATTCTATTATGTTTAAGCTTCAAATTTAAAATTCAATTGACAGTTTTATTTCTCATGTTTTCATGTTGGAAATTAGGGAGGAAAGTATAATGGATTTCTTAACTTTGGAGACATAGTGCCTTAAAATATGAATTCTATAATGATTTAATATATAAAACTATATTTATGGACTGTAATGAAATAAAGATGATGTAAACCAAAAAAATTGTACTAGAAAAGTGTTTACTCTTCTTTTGCAGAGTATATTAAGAATTGGGGTGATAAAATCAAGGTCATTTGGAAAAAACAATCACATACAGCAAATATTAAAAGTGAATGAATAATTCAGATCTCCAGAGGTTGGGGAACTTGGCTAATCACCATCTGGGGAACTTAGGACTGAAGGGGGGAACATGGAGTATACCCAGAAACACATGCATAAAGATGTTTCTGAAAGAGCAGCAGTAGCCACAGCACAGCATTCAGAGTCAGGAGACTTCAGCTCTGTCTACTCACAAAGTGTGTCACCTTGACCAAGTCGCCTGTCAGGTAAAAATTATCTTTAAACCAGTCATCTTCCTCTTATCATCAAGTTTATTACCCTTATGCACATGTCCTCATACACTCGAGTGGGAGCACGCAAGCGTGTGTGTATGCACACACACACACACACACATACACACACACACACGCAGGCAAACACTTCTGGTGAAACATCAGCAAAAAGTAGCGAGGAGGGGCTGGCTGGTTAGCTCAGTTGTTTAGAGCACGGCCTTGTAACACCTAGGTCACGGGTTTGGATCCCTGTACCAGCCAGCTGCAAAACAAACAAAAAAAAGTGTGGAAATCCAGGACATCAAGGGTGTCTTCCTTACGTGATGGTTCCATGAGACATTCACTTGGAGGCTAATGTACTTGAACTGGCAGAAATCTGAATTTTTAGTGTTGACTTTTCTCTTTATCTCTCTATTGCCTCCCTAATAGTTATTAAACTTTGTTTTTTGTTTTTTATTTCATAAACAAGAGATAATACTTTTGCAATGGCTGTTTAATGATAACTGAGAGGGGATGTAGGGAAGAAACTTAACTGTAAAAAGCTTCCTTTCTGAGGTTGTCATAAAAATACTGTAAAAATGCAGGGTCTTATTAGTGAATGCTTTTTACTTCTAAAAGTAGACCTGTGACTCTGGATTCCGGCTGAATAATGCTGAAGTTGGTTCCCAGGAGCTGGCGAGGAGTAGAGAGCATAGAGAGGTCTCTGGTTTACTTCTAGGGAGCAAGGTCATTACAAGCTAATGGAGATTTTTATAGCCCAGACGACTCTCCTGTGAGCACCTCTTGTTAGCAGGCTCGGAGAACGCTTGTCTCCTCCTCATTTTGGAGCTGCCGTATGTGCTTGAGAGGGGGAAGGACAGGGAAAGCCTCGGATCTGTGTGATGCATTTTCCAAGTATAAAGTAACAGAAAACCAAGACTTTACTCTTCAACATACTCCACTCTTCTTCATTACCTATAAATTAGGTTTTTATAATAAGGAGGGGAAATAAAGAAGTGTCTCCTTCCTGAGTGCCGCAGACACTACGTGTACATGAGGATCCAGGCAGCTGCCTCTTTTCTGTGATGTCAAAACAGAGGCTGCGTCTGTTAAAGAAAACACCTGCAAAAGATGACAGAGCAAGAGAGCAAGAGTAGTCAGGAAAACCCTCAGGTCTGATACCCAGGAGAGGAGAAGGGCTGGAAAGTAGCATTGAGTAGGAGGAAACTCCAACCGAGGAACAGCTCAGAGAAAGTCTCTGCCAGCACATTGGGGAGCTCCAGTGCAAAGATCACCATAAAGAAGACCTGTAATGGGCAGAAATGGCCAGGCCCTGCTATCCCTGCCAACTGCAGTCATTGGTGGGAGCTGCCAGGGACACTGAGTCCATCTTAAACGCTGCGGAGGGTCTTGAAGATGCCGTAGCTGGAGGCTGTGAGCTGACTGCGCTCCTAGCCACAGGTTCTCAAAGGGAGAGCTGAACAGCACACCTCATGCCTGCATAGAACTGCCCTTGTGCCACACAGATCCCCTTACTCGTACATGTTGGGGAGCAGCTCACCCAGGGTTCCCATCAGTCTCTCTTCCTGAGGGGAGACTTAGAAGAGTGAAGTTAGCAGGGCAACTACAACTCCTGTTGCTGCATACAATGTCAGGGCCACACCTGGACTCATTGTCTCCCTCGTCCACTATTAAAATTCCTCCCTTTCCTGCAAACCTCTTTCCTAGAAACTCTGAGCCCCTGGGAACCATGCCCTTCTCAGGCCAGTTACAATTAGGCATGGAGTGCCAAAGGACACCAAAGTGTATCCTTGGAGTTCCATGCATATCCTCCCTGTCCGCACTGTGGAACGGCAGCCCTACCTCATCCTGCTGATCATGGTAAATTAGCCCTGCCAGTATGGTGACTCCTTTCCCATCATTCCCTAGATGCAAAGACCACAGTGCTCAGGTGTCAGTCATAGCTTGTAATTTAATAGGAGCCTTGCTTTGTCCCTTGGGAAAAGTGCACCTCTTAGGGAATCAGGTCTCTAACTCAGCAAAGCCCAAAGTTGCAGGGATGTGAAGAACAAAATTCTCCACTGAGTCACTGAAAGTAAGTGGGGCTGCTACCTGCTTTCACCTCTGGGATCCAGGATCCTACTGAGGACATATGCCATATGGAAGTCTCTGGCTTGGTGCAGGTACCGCATGCTGAAGGATGGCTCCCATGCTTGCAGGGCACCACCTCTAGTGCTTCAGCTGCACCTTCAGCAGGGTACTTCTATTCTCTTAGGCTGCTGCTTCTGGACAGTATGCATGTAATACAACCAGTCGATCTCATGGTCATGGCCCACTCCTGCACATCATCACTGTGGCATGGGTCCCCTCTTTGGATGATATGCTTTATCCATGCCTGTTGATCAGGCACTCTGTAAGCCCCTGGATTGTGGTGCTGACTGAGGCTCTGCAAGTAGGAAAAACAAAGGCAAACCCATCCCCCAAAAGATGTCTATTCCTGTGGAACAAACCACTGGGCCTTCCAGGATGAAGGGGACCCAATGTAGTCAACTTGCCACTGGGTGGCTGATTGGTTTCCTCGAGGAATAGTGTCATGTTACGGGCTCAGTGTTGCTCTCTGTTACAGGCAGATTAGGCATTCAGGGGGCAGTAGCTAGACCTGTCTCTGTAAGTAAGAGTTCACGCTGTTGGGCAACGTATTGCTTCTATCTCTGCCACTGTGTCCACTCTGCCTGTTATGTCTTTTGTGAGGTGGCTGGTGACAAAAGCTGGCTAATGTCAATCAGCCAAGTCCTTTTGTCTACTTGGTTGTTCAGTGCCTCTTCTGTGGTGGATGCTTTTTGGAGCACATTAATATGATACAAAAATCTCAGCATGTGGTATTTACTCTATATATCCATTCATATGCCTCTATCCCATATCTCCGTTGTCTCAAATGTTCCAGTACTTTCGGGCTCCTTGCTAGCTAACTAGATCATTCATTACTGCTCATGACTTCATGTGTATATATACACCTCACTTCTCCTCCCATACAGATGGATGGCCAGGTGCACCACTCAAAGTTCTGCCACTGGGAAAATGTTTCATTGCCACTCTTTCAAGGCCACCATTGAGGGTGGCTATAAAGCATCCACCATCCATTCTACTGAAATGGCAAGTCCCTGAATCTACATAGAGTCTATCTCCCACCCTTTTGAGCACACGTGTCTTACCCAGGCCTCCAGTGTACGAGCTCTTCCTGCCAGGGAGCACCTTTTGCTCCTCCTGAGTCAGCACAGCATCATCAGTGGAATGGATCACTGAGATGGAATCATCTTTAGGATACCCAGATGGTCCAGGTCTCTTCGCACTAAGTTATGACAGAGGGCAGAAAAGTTAACATAGCTCTAGGACAAAAGCGTAAAGAGTACTGCAGTACTGCTGTTCATTCCATAGAAACACAAACTGCTTCTGATTTTCTTTTGATTGGCTTAAAAATAAAGCATATCTCCCAAATTAACAGCCACGTATCATGTGCCTGAGGTCGTACTAATCTGCCCTAGCAACAATACCACATCTGGCCCTGCAGCTGCAATCGGGGCTGCTGCTTGGCTGAACTCGCAATAATGTACAGTCATTCTCCACTTGTCATCTAGTTTCTGTGCCAGACTGGCTAAAGAAGAGGAGATATGATAGAAACTTTAGATTTTTAAGAGTGGCACTAAGCTCCGCTATCGACCCCCAGAATGTGATATTGCCTTTGATTTCTCATCTTGGTTGGGCAGGGAAGCAGGTGTGTAGAGGGGTAGTTTCAGGGGCTCTCACCTGGCCTTCTCCACTATGGTAGCTCTTACTTCATAGGCCAAGGACCTGGGGGTTATTCCAACTGCCAAGTATATCCATGCCGATCATGCATGCAGGGTCTGGGGAAGTGACCACAGGTGGCCTTTACTACTGAAGCTTTGAGGAGTGTGATTTTTTCCTACCTGCACCATTCTAAGCAGGCATAACACTCACCTGACTAAGATGAGGAGACTTCCTTTGAGGCAGTACAGGCAAGCAGAGAAAGAGACTTTAAACTGGGCACTTTGTGAATAGGGAGTGGAGGGACATTCCTCCTGGAGAGCAAGAAAAAAATTCCCAATTTCCAAGATAGGGCATCAAGCTGGACCAGAAGCGAGGAAAGTCCAAGACCTCCTCCAGGACTGTTTTAGGGAGTCTGTGCCTTGATGAGTCTACATTTTGGTAGTTTTATTCAAAGGTATCTGATATATTTTGGTGCCACTGGGAATAGTATCATTTCAAAATTTCAATTTTCTAATTGTTGTTGGTGTTTAGAAGTTCAGTTGACCTTTGTGTATTGACTTTGATTGTAGCAAACTTGCTAAACTCAGTTGCAAATTCCAAAGATTTGCCAATTATTTTGGATTTGTAAATATATAATCATATTATCTGAGAATAATGAACAATTTCATGTATTTCTGTGTAATCCCTATATCTTTTCTTTCGTCTTGCTTTCAGTAACATAGGACCTAGTCCTGGTAACCAAAGACTTTGCTTTCAAGCCTTTTTTTGGCCTTTTTGTAAAAATTTAGAATCTTCTCAAGGATCCTAGTAATGTAGGGCCTTGCTTTCAGTAACCTAAGGCCTCCAATATGATGATCACTAAAAGTGACCATAGTGGACACCTTTGTCTTGTTCCCAGTCTCAAAA